GTTGTTTGACATTACGTTCACATTATTTGGCTCCCAGTTTTGTATGGTCCAGCTGACACGCTGAGAAATGAATAACCTTAGAATATGGAGCTGAGGTCAAATGAAGAGGTATTCTCAGCTTTTCCTTCTCTACAGTCAGGCTAATATTTCCTTTCTGCACAGCTCAATACGGTCTTAACATCCCCAATAGTCAGCGCTTTTGTCCTGAATAAATCCAAGGTTCATCCAGGTCCTCAAATGCTGGCAATAGATTTGTGTCTTAGTGTTTTTGAGTTTATCTAAAGGCTTAGACTTTCATACCAAGTGCATGGCAAGTACTTATACACAATTTCCATCCTTTACAGTAGAACAACGAAGCCTGGTTGAAATGTGCGGTCAGTAATTTTGCCAATTGTATTGATACCCTGTTGATTCATCTTGCTTTCTGGACATCGATTTTTTTTTTTACATGTGAGGAGAGGGATCATAAATGTTTGAGCACTCTTTCCCCTCCAAGCTAAGGATGTGGTGGGGTTGTACAGAGGTCAGGTCTAAGCTTGCTCCAAAGCAAATGGCATGTGCATGTGTCAAGGTTTCTTCTTGACAGCCTGCATTTGCCTGCTGGCTTCTGAATAGCTTTATTATGCATTACCAATGTGTGACCACTTTTCCAGTCTCATGTTGCTGCTTTCAGTGTTGAGGGGTTACGTAGCAGCTGGCTCCACAGTCTGGCTGGATCTGAATTGGTGGTTGATCTAGTAACACACATGCGAGCATGGCCTTTGAATTGCTGGCAGCCTTTGCCTGCAGCACGAGCGTACTGACAGTCTTTGCTAAAGTCACTGCTTTGCACTGGAAATCTCCAAGTCCTAAATCATTGCATAAAGGGAGGTGTTTCTTTCTATTTCCTACAGAGTTTGAGTCTTCATTGGGGTGTCAAGTGATTTTATATCCTCAGGCCCCTATATGATGACATTTATTTTCCTTTGTCTTTCATATTGCTTTCCACATGATATACTTCCATATCGTCAGCAGATCTCAGCTAGACTATTCCTAAAAAAAAGTTACTATCTTGCGAGGTACCCTTGGACAGAAGGGGGAAATAAAGTAATTTATCTCCTAGCATAAAGAAAGAGTTCATTTGTGGTCTGTGGAACAGACCGGCAAGTGGAGGGGAATATCATGATATGCCATAAAACTAATATTTCCATTGTTTGTTTCACAGAATCCAATAGAATAATTAATTTTACTCTCCAGGTAAATACTGCTTATTATTTGGAGATAGTTGTTTCTTACTCTTAACAATCCTTCCTGTAAACTGGAGTTGGACATCCTGTGCACAATCTAGTCTTCAATGTCTTCAGAGGTCTCAACCCTAGTATAATTATCACCCCATCCACTTCTTGGTTTCAAATAAAGCATCTCTCATTTGGTCTGAGACCCAACACCTTCATCGGTATTGTTTCAATATTACTGGTATTATTCTGGGCAACGATTTCACTCATCTTTGTCCCTTTTCCTCCTTCTAACTGTTACAATTCCTGTGATTGAACAAGGTTGTCTTGAAAGGCAGCATTCTCTAGTTTTCTTCCCTGTCAGCTGTTGTAAAAAAAGTAAAGGTAGAAATCTGTGCTAATGATTTCTTTGCAGGTTGCCAGGTCTTTCCTCATGATACCATTCAAACTACACATGTTCTAGGGTTTTTTGAGATTTAATCCTTTTATAGAATACGTAAATAGTTTTGCGGGTTTTATGGCCTTTCTCTTTTTCAGATAAACTGTTGAACAGTTACTGAAGCAAGAATTATTTCAGTTCATAATTCATAACTTCATCAAAATTCTTCCAGTAAAAATTGGCAAGTTGAAAGACTTAAACCATACAGCTAGCAACAGTAAAAAAATTAAAGCACTGTAAATATTAGTAACTAATACCAGAATGTTCAGATGTACTTCTTACGTTTCTTTATGCTCAAACTCTTACATACTCCATAGCTCCCAGAAGATGTAGTTGTTTATGGTACAGATTTGAGTGAGATATTTCTATTTTGTTTTTAATCAGATGGATTTTCCTTCAATTTTAAAGCAGCCTTGCTTTAATCAGACAGTATTTAATGTTGGATGTTTCTGTTTCTCCTACTAATTTTTTTCTTTTTTAATTTATAATTGTTTTCAACTTTGCTATGGAAAGCACTGCAAAATGCATTTCAGAGAGGAGGGCCTGGCTAATTCAGCAATGGATTCCATCTGTGTTGACGTTGGCTGCACAGCCCAGCCCGCCCCAACTGTATGAAGTAACTGGTGCTCCAGCAGGGTCGAATTCAGACAAGCACCATTTGTGTTTCATTTCCTTTTTACTTTCTTTCTGAATAACATTTTGTCTAAAAACAACCCCCCCCCCCCCCCCCATCTTTATTGGAACCTCTTATTTGTTTCTGGATAAAAGATAGCTTTGAAACCTCAGTACTGTGTCAAGTCAAAATTGGAATGACTCTCAGATGGGTATTTCCTGGGTGAATTACATTTAATATTGTTAGGAATTTCATATACTGTATATACACCTGACGGGAAAATAGTTTAAGGCTAGACCAAGATATTAATATATCTATCTAATGAAAGGAGTGGTATGAATCTCCAGTGCCCTAGGAACAAGCCTTGACCCCAACTCACTTGAGCAAGGCTCTGCCCACGTGCATGAAGGGAGAAAATACAAAATCTTTGGAGGCAGTTCCACCTATGGTGTGTAGCAGTTCAGGCCACACAGAGCAGATATGTGCAGGTGCGTAGGGCAAAATTAATAATTGCTGACAATTTTCCAGTATTAACATGTAATATTTTTTAATGTCACTTATGCCTGTTGCGCAGCAGCAGCTAACTTTGAAAGATTCATTTAGTTTGTGATGATGTGCAGATTTGCTGTTGGGGGGTGTTTTTCAGCAGAAAAACAGGGACACCATGCTAAAAGCCATTTTTTCATTATTTTGATTCCTTGACAGCTAATTTTCCTAGCAAAACTGATGAGGAAAACTCATTTGGTTGACACTGTAGATAACAGTAATTGCCATCTCTTATCTGTAATTGAGTGTGACATGTGAAGTTGGCTATATCATTTGATATGGTAATATTGGTGTAAATCTCAATCTGACCAAGAATTTCTGTGTTCAGTCATGAATCGGTTCATTGTTCATGAGGAGTTTCTGATTTTACTAGGTGCACAAAGGGAAGTCAGTGCTGGATGAGCTGAAGGGCAAGTTTAATCACTAGCTTCTGGCCTTCCTGCACATTGGGAATACACAAGCACTTACCTGCAAGATGTAATAACCTACTCAATATAAATTTAACTACAGAGCATACTAAGGGTGGGACTCGTCTAGATGATTGTTAAGAATTAGGTGTCTGGCGTAGGTTTGTAATCAGTAATGAGATTTGGAGGTGTGTAGCTTTGAAATATGAAAAGATGAATCCAGACCTGAAAGCACCCACAGAACTAATTTCATTACAGCTAATGCTACATGTTATTAAAGCTCAAGTTCCTCCTGGGTAACTTTAGGTCTGTAGGAAAATAGGAGTGTATTCACTGTGACTTCATCTGTATTATGTGGAAGAAAGCTCTATGCCTCTGCTAGACTGTTCAGCCCACCTGACTGACCAGCCACTCTGTATCTGACCATGAGCAAAGCTCACCCTAACTAGTTTCTTATTTCAGTATCTCTGTTTGTTCTCTGAGTTTAGACAGACTCTGTTACATCTCTTTCATTACATGAAAGAAAGAGAAACGTGTATTGAAAAAATGTTACTGCAGAAATGAGACTCTGCTTAGAAGTTATATTTTTGTGATCATACAATAAACCACTGGTGCTGGAAAAAGACCAGTATTTTCTGTAATATGAAAATATGGAACTCAAAACCTGTGGCATATATGAGCAAGTTCTATAAAATACAGTTGGTTTGGTACTTGTTAAGGAAATAGAACAGTAAAGTCATATGGAAGAAGTCACAGAGTACTAAATTTGCTTTGTTACTATATCAACATACCAGCAGTCGGTCAGTTTTAAATTTAAAACAGGTTTATATTTAGAAAAGAAGCATTTTAGAATTTGACCTGGTATTTGAAATATTTATTTTATCATATAATTGTTTCTTGATGTTCCAGTCTTTTCATTGGTTGTAGCTCTGTTTTTGTTATGTAGGAATAGTATTTTAAAAATTAACATCTATATTAAGACTTGATTTGCCATTGTAAAACAAAATGCATCATGAAAATATGGTCTAAATTGCCTAGATGTCCTTGATCTCTGCCAACCCAGGCTATTTAACTTTTCTGAAGTGTCCAACATTGTTTGCTGCTGTAGTATGAATTATTTTAGGTGTAAAACACTAATAAATAAGCCTTAACACTGTAGATCGGTCTATGCACAGAAATCTCTTTCTGATGTAGACCCTTCAGATTTCTGGTTCTTAAACAGAGAACTGTACCTTTTCAGCATTTTTACCACTTAATTCTGTGGTAGAAAGAACTTCTTCTAATGTAGCTATCTTCATTTTGCCATCTTTAACAATGGGAAGTAGGATCCTACTGTCCTTATATTACCAAAGGACTCAGTTGGAGGACCTGCAAGAAGGTTTTGCTTCCTTATGAGTGGAGGTAAAAGTCTTGAAAATAATGATACATTTAAAAATGTATCATTATGTTATGAAGCATAATTAAGTCACTTTATTGCTTCAGATCTCAACCTATACATATTATTGTTTGATTATAACAACACATGAGGAACTTGAGATTTAGGCTTGTTTCCCTTCTAAAAAATGCGACCCTGAAGAACATGCCCTTATTCAAAGGTCAACATCTCAATTCACCCCTCCAGAGCCTTGCCTTTAGAGATAACATAAGAAATAGTCGCAGGACCTGCCATTGGGTTTATAAGGCTGGTAACATTAGCACTGATCGTGAGCAGATGTTCTGACCATGTTAAATTTAACACCTTGTTGGTCTGTAATCACTTTTTTCTTATTTTCTCCATTTAGCCACCAGATAATGGGCCTCCACCATTACCAACATCTTCCCTTCCTGAAGGCTATTATGAAGAGGCAGTGCCACTTAGTCCTGGGAAGGCTCCTGAGTATATCACTTCCAGTGAGTAATATATTTCCAGATCAGTTTCTGAGCAATTGATAATTCTGGCATCCTTCAACTTTTTTAGTATTTGACAGATAAATTTCTGTCAGTGCTGTGGTGACATGTTGTAAGTGTGGCTTTGACCATCTGGGGCCAGTTCTGGTTATCCTCACTGGCTGTGCATTGGTTTGGTTTGTGGAACTGTTTTGGTATGCATAAACCAGGCTCTTTTTAGAGGAAACTAAACATGGAGCTTAAGTTAGGAGCACATAAATATGTTTCAGCTGCTATTGGAGACAGAGGATCCAAATCAGCCACTGGTCTTTTGAACAGCTTTGAACCATGAACATGGTTGGGCCAGGAGTTGAGTTAAATATAATCCAGAGTAAACTCCTCTCAACTGGTGATATTGTAGATGTAGAGGTAAACTGGTAAAACTTGCTGTAAGGAAAAAAAAAAAAGGTTCAATGCTATGAGGAAAAAGCAATGATTTAACCCGGTAACTTTGCTGAAAAGAAGGTGGGATTATTGCATGGGATTTATGGTATAAAACCCATCTTTTTCATATATGGCAAAGAGATGACCTGTAATTTTATCCAATGACCCAGAAAAATGACCCAGCTCTACTATCTTGGGAAGACTATATTTGAGGAGTGTCCCTCCTGAACACTCAGGTTTTAAGTTGATCTGCTGAAAATTAGCCCCCAGACCCTTACGTTGAAAATGTGGTTTCTAAATTTTGGAGGAAAAATCTCATTAGTAATTAAACAGAAAAATTCTACCAGAGTAGTATGTCCATATCTCAGTCTATGAATAGTGACTTCTTACTTCTGCTTCTTACCTCAAAAAAAATGTGAGTTTCAGAATAATATTCTTGTGAAAAATAGGATAAAATAACAAATGAGGTAAAAGAGTATTGTGGAAATAGAGCAAACTTCAAGGTGAGCATTGTGACAATGGCATAGCTGCAACAAAGATCACTACTAAATTCGAAGAAGGACTGAGGAGGTTATGGGCACCTAAGTATTAATTTTTTGAAAAGGGCAGGAGTTAAAGATGAAGTTTGCAGAGAGACAGCAAATTCAGATTATGGCAGCTTGCCCCTTAGCCTGTGCCTTTGGAAGAAGACCTTCTTGAAGATGCTGATTTAATGACTAGACCTTACATCTTCATATTTGGTAACACCACATGAATCATTCTGCCTCTGCTTCTAACAGGCTGACATGCTACTGTGTGTTTGAGACTGGTCAGTGATCTCTCAAACATTTCCTGTTGTTTCTTTGTGGAAGTGTTTTGGTTCTGGTTTTGGTGGGGTTTTGTTAGGCTTTTTTCCTGCTTCATGGGGAAGAAGGAGGAAGAGATGGATGAAGCAGCAAATGCTACCAGATCTTACACATTCTTTTAAACAAATATGCAAAAATAAATACTGTGCAATAAAAGTTTCCAAATCTGTCAGTTTAAACATCTACTTTAATTTTTTCCATCTTTCTCTTTTGTAAAGCAGGTGAAAAAGTGTAGTGTTTTCCCATTCACAGTGGTCTGAGGCTTTTACCACTTGCCCATATGGAGCTGCCCCAAACTAAACACTGTAGCAGAATTGACCAGAAGAGGGCAATTAAATTAAAAAAAAAAATTTCTAAAGCTTCAAATCTTATTTTAATTTCAGTTTGGAATTAGTAAGTGCTGTTTCATTCACTTTTGTGAAAACACAGATCTGAGTATCTAGCCTTGATTCAGAGATGTGAGGTCTGGGTACATCTAATTCTGACTGTGCACATAGGGAGGAACTGATATAGAATGAGCTTTCCAGCAATCCACTCTCCTGTCCTCTTCCCAGTAGTCCCAGGTCTCTTTCCTACATCCTATCTGTGTCCTAAATACCTAATTAAAGCAAATGAGAGATTTTCTTCCCATTTCTGGCCTAAAAATATATCAAAATCTACTTGAAATATTCAGATGAAATTTCAGCTGTTAAAAATATTCCAATTGATTCTCCTCCATGGAAGCATGTGCCAATAGATAAGACATGCCTTCAGGTGTTACAATCTGGAGTGCTTTTTATATATATATATATATATATATATATATATATATATATACCCACATAATAAGTAAGTATGAATGGTGGATGAGGGGGTTCTGCGATAATGGCAAATAAGTTTTGTAGTTGATGCGACTGCTAGACCTCACTGCATTTTTGAAAATTAAAGACCTGAACAAAGATTATTTAATAAAAAGGAATCTCACCATTCCATCACCAGACTTGGAGCAGGATTAAGCTGTTTAGGCTAAGCACATAACAAAACGTTTTTTGAGGAATGCCTTTTACTCCAGCAGAATCTGTAGTTCAAGGAAAAGCATTGTCTATTCAACGTCAATTATATCAGTTCAGGTGCTGTATTTGAGAATTATATGAAATGTTATGATAGGTAGATAGCGCCCCATAATGTACTCTTTGTCATATTCAGTGTTTTGTTTCTTGATATGCTGTATTAATATTGACATTTCTGTGTCTACATTTTGCATTATGCAATAGAGCAAAATGAAGAGGTTTCTCTGTAAGAATTATAAAAGATTAAGGTATCTGCAAAATAATATTTTGAACACTACCTAAAATTCTAGCTATGTATTGCCAGTTTATTCTTTCAATTAAAATTCCCAAGGTGTCAGTATGGGTCTTCTATAAAATTTCATAATGAAACACCATCTCTTACTCAATTAATGTATTGATACTACTAAGCACTGAAACAGTAATTTGTTCAAGGCTGACTTTCAAAAGCCTTAACTTAAAATGAACCCCGTTGAGATTTTTAGTTACTTCAGTGCACTTCATGGGTAAATGTTTTAACTTGACACTTTTATGCTTTTCTTACAGATTATGACTCAGATGCTATGAGCAGCTCTTATGAATCCTATGATGAAGAGGAAGAGGATGGAAAGGGGAAGAAAATGAGACATCAGTGGCCTTCCGAAGAGGCCTCTATGGATCTGGTGAAGGATGCCAAAATCTGTGCCTTCCTCCTTAGAAAGAAACGATTTGGGCAATGGACCAAACTACTGTGTGTTATCAAAGAAAACAAACTACTGGTAATTTTTATTTTTATCTAGCTATATTTTCTTTGTATCTATTAGGTGATGTATTTATTTTTACAGGAATCTAGTTTTTGGAATATTTTCTGCAAACAGCAGCCAAGTCTACAGTAACCTTACCAAAAAATTTGGTCATAATTTGCCTCAGAAACAGAGAAGCACTGAAAGTGTATCATTTAGCCACTTAGAACTTTGATTTTTATTGCACTTAAACACAAGCAGTTCCCTAATATTGGAAAGAAAGTCTGGCCTATTATCTTCTAACATATTTCATTTGGGAAAAAAAAATGCTGAAACTGTAAATCCAATCTTTCATTCCCTGTGGATAAAAAATCTCATAGGGAGCTTTGTGTATGGACTGTTGGATCAGACCGCTGGAGAGAACAGTCCCTTGTTAGACTGAGAATTCGCTTGGCAGTATATGCCGTGGTAATGTATACACTTTAAACTAAACCTTTGCCATCTGTTCTGCAGTAATTACAGATGCAGTATTCACATGATGCACAGCTGCATTATAGAAAGGAAAGAAACAAGTGGATATATTTGTTCCTTAAGTAAATCTGTTCCGTTTCTTTCTGATTGGAGGCACCAGTAAAAGATTCCATATGTTAGTAAATTATCTGCTCATAGATGCCTTTTTATTTTCTGAAAAGAGAGCATAATTGAGGGAAACACTTATTTCTGTGTCATTATAAGCAAACTCATGCTTACAGTAATAAATACGCTGGGGTCTTAGGCACTCTGTGCCTTCCTTTCTGGTGCCTCCCACAGTTGTAACTAATTGTGGAACTAGTAATTACTGCAATATTCCAAATGTTAAAAGCTGATTAACAGGTGATACAACATTTTCTGTAGAACCTCGTTATTCTACACTAGTACAGTGTAGCTTAGGTATGTTCACTTTACAAGTACATTTGTGCTTATGGCGGCATAGGAAATGGCAGGATATGAAATAGAGATGAGGTTTCTGAAAATATAGTTGGAATGAATTTTCTAGTTTTCAGTGGTTACTGAGGATTTAATTTTTGTATCCTCCTCTATTTAAATGTTGAAAAGAATGTTGATTGTGATTCAGTTTTTATTATATTTTTATAATGCCATTATCCTTAGTCCACATTTTTATCACTGTGTATCAGGATCATATCAGGTTTCAGGACTGTCTGATAATAGCTTGTACAAAAGAAAGAAAGAATGAGGGAAAGAAACAGATTTTTCTCTGAAGTCACACAATATTTCTTCTACATTTATGTTTGTTGTTCTGTATAAAAATGTTGTTTTTTCTATTTTCATTTCCTTTAGCCTCATGTGTGGTCTGAAAAGCTTTTTTTTTTTTTTTTTTTTTTCTTATACGGATTGTCTTTCAGTAAATCAGTAAAGGGGATTAAGAAAATAAAAATCACAATAGGAGTCTAACGACCAAGTTACACAAGATTGGTTTATTGTTTGAAGGAAGACTTAGACATTTAACTTATGAGATATGCAAGTAAAACAAATATATGTTCTTAGGTATTAGTAATTGCTTGTGTTATAAATTCAGCTGTCATCATAAAATCAAAATATTTTAATTAGAATTAGACGTTAGAAATAAGTTTTTAGTAGGAGATCGTTTTTCACTTAATGTCCTTTAATATCTAAATACTTCAGGTTTAGTTAATGTATAATTATAAATAAAATAGTTAAATTAATATAAAGGGAATTATATGCTGTTTATTGCTTCTTAAAGTGACTAATGTTGTATGTTTTAACGATTTCATAGTTTGAAAACTTAATTTTTTTTTAATGTTACAAACTTGAAATCTGTGACCAAGCTAGGGAAACTTTGAAATAATAGGCTTTGAAAAGGGAAGGAGGATTATGAGTCATTTGCACAGGCCGTTTTTTCAGGGTGCCTGTATTTGCTCAACCTAAGTTATAGTGTTTATAACATTCTTTTAACAGCTACTGTCTTCCTGACAGTTGCATTGTGACATTAACACTGCTGCAGACATGCAAAAGTTCTTGTGCTTGTTGCTGTCACATTTATACTCAGCTATTCTATGTATGCATATACTAATTAGTCTTCTTTATTAGCAGACACATTCTTTATTATCAGATATCTCTTAATCCTTCATTCTTATTTGTATGAGCGAAAGCCCAATTTACATAAGTAAATAAATAACTGGGCATTCATATACACAGTTAAACGTTCTGTAGTCTGGCACTCTAACAGCTATAGGAACCTTAGCTGCACTGATGTGTTGGAAGGTGAGAGTAGGGAAGGGGTCTACAGGACAAGTGATGTAATGTAGAACCCTTCATCTTTAGATCACCAATTCAAACATAGAGCAGGTCATCAGTGATGCAGCATGAAATGTCTGTTCTCTGACAGCATTTACTAATGAGGGGAAAAAACGTCACTTAAGTCATATCTTTCTAGCCAGGAGTTTACAAAGAAAACTAACAGGGAGATTTATAAAGTTTTGTGCAGTGGCTATTAGACTGTGTTAGGTGAAAAAGTGGGACTTTACCCCCTTTCCACACTGTGACAATTTTTTTTTACTTATCTCAAGAAAGAGAACAGCTGAGTAAAGTGTGTGCCAATGTCTTTGCAAGTGCAGCATGTAGGCACTGATGTAGATTTGCCTCGATATGCTGGGCTGTTGCTGGAGGGCAGGGTAAACATCTGGGCTTTAAAGTCATTAACTGTACAAGTTTATTCTGCTGTTACATGTGAACAGATATCCTAAATCACCCTCTTCCTACCTCATCAAGGTCAAGGTTGAGTCATAAGGATAACACGGAGAAGCTTAATGCTTTCCATATGTTGTACCTGTCCTGCAATAAAAGACGTCTATTAATGTCAGTCTGGAAGTAATTTTGCTTTACAGAGGGAATTAGAAGGAGATAAGCAAAGCTGGTGTTGGCTGAACAATGTGGTATGTGGTAAAGGAGTGCATGAAAAATATTAAAAATTAAAAAGTAGCATATCTATATAGTAACAGCTTTCCCCCAAGGTTCAGAAAGGTGATATCTAACTTTTGAACTTTTCTTACATTTATTTAGTGTTACAAAAGTTCCAAGGACCAGCAGCCGCAGATGGAGCTGCTCCTGAATGACTGCAGTATCACATACATTCCCAAAGACAGCAAAAAGAAGAAACATGAGCTGAAAATCTCTCACCAAGGAGCAGATGCCCTTGTTCTGGCAGTGCAGAGCAAAGAGCAGGCAGAACAGTGGCTAAAGGTAAGGGGGGATTTCTGCCCAAGAGCTTTTCCACCCACTAACTGCTTCCATTGCCTGCTCAGTTGCTGTTAAAAACTGAGATACAGACAGAAACTTTCAGGCAAATCCAGAGCACTTAAATCCCATCTAATTTGGGACTGCAGGAATACAGATTTAATGTTCAGGCCTCAAAGCAACTTCTTGGGCAACCAGAAGCTGAGTATTTCACAGCTCCTGCTGCTGCTGGATATGGTTTTCACTGAAAATTAAACAGTAATCTGGCACTGAGAGAGGAGGTGGCAAATTCCCTTCCGTCTTCTTCTCCGGCTTATTCTCAGAAAGTGTTGGTGGTTAGGGCACACTGGTAGTGAGCTGAAGGTTCAAATTACCTAAGGTGGAGGGGGCTGACAGCCAGGTTGCTTTTTGGAATGGCCTATGCTGTAGGCATATGGCTACCACTGTAGTTTACTGCCTTAGGCTACCCTTCAAAAACTGGGCATACCAACACCACAGTCACCTTTTTAAAAAGGAGCCCCAAGGAGATACCTGTTTGAATTGTCTGGATGGAGAAAAATCCTTCAGCTTCCTGAAGTCAATTCAAGTTTGCTAATCCTGGTTGAGCATCTGTTATGACTTGTTCTGGGAATACAGACTTCTGAGAAATAGGATTTTGTCACAGAGTCATAGAATGAATCATGGAATGCTTTCGGTTGGAAGGGACCTTAAAGATAATCTAGTTCCAACCCCCTGCCGTGGGCAGGGACACCTTCCACTAGCCCAGGTTGCCCAAAGCCCCGTCCAACCTGGCCTTGAACCCTACCAGGGAGGGGGCAGCCACAGTTTCTCTGGGCAGCCTGTGCCACTGTCTCACCACCCTCACAGTTTAAAACTGTTACCCCTCATCCTATTACTACCCTCCCTGATCTAGATTTCCTCTCTGACTTTCTTTTAGGCCCCCTTTAAGTACTGGAAGGCCACTATAAGGTCTCCCCAGAGCCTTCTCCAAGCTGAACAACCCTAACTCTCTCAGCCTGTCCTTATAGGAGAGGTGCTCCAGTGCCCTGATGAACTTCATGGCCCTCCTCCAGACGTGTTCCAACAGGCCTGTGTCTTTCTTATGTTGGGGGCCCCAGTGCTGGGCACAGCACTGCAGGTGGGGTCTCAGGAGAGTGGAGTAGAGGGCAATAATCCCCTCCCTCGACCTGTTGGCCACACTTCTCTTGATGCAACCCAGGATACCATTGGCTTTCTGGGCTGTGAGCACACATTGCTGGCTCATAGTCAGTTTTCCATCTACTAATAACCCCAAGTCCTTCTCCACAGGGCTGCTCTCAATCCACTCATTGCCCAGCCTGTATTTGTGCTTGGGATTGCCTTGGCTCATGTGCAGGACTTTGCACTTGGCCTTGTTGAACTTCATGAGGTTTGCATGGGCCCACCTCTCAAGCCTGTCAAGGTGTCTCTGGATGGCATATCCCTTCCCTCCAGTGCGTTGACCGCACCACACAGCTTGGTGTTGTTGGCAAAATTGCTGAGGGTGCACTCAATCCCACTGTCCATGCTGCTAAAAACCATGTTAAACAACACTGGTTCCTATACAGACCCCTGAAGAACGTCACTTGTCACTGCTATCCCCTTGGATATTGAGCTGCTGACTCTTTGAGTGCGACCATCCAGCCAATTCCATATCCACCGAGTGATCCATCCATCAAATCCATGTCTCTCCAATTTAGAGAAAAGGATGTCGTGTGGGACAGTGTCAGATGCTTTCCACAAGTCCAAATAGATGACATCCGTTGCTCTTCCCTTATCCACCAGCACTGTAACCTCATCATAGAAGGCCACCAATTTTGTCAGACATGATTTGCCCTTAGTTAAGCCATGTTGGCTGTCACCCATCACCTCCTTATTTTCCATGTGCTCTAGCATAGTTTCCAGGAGGGTCTGCTCTGTGACCTTGCCAGGCACAGAGGTGACACTGACTGGCCTGCAGTTCTCCAGGTCTTCCTTTTTTTCTTTCTTAAAAATCATCTTCCACTCCGTTGTGTTCATTTTGCAAATGTGGAAAATCCCAATACAAGGACTGCAGTTTTAGATCCTAGCCAGATTACTAGTATTTATGTTGGACTTTGCTAGTTTGAAATGGGGAGGTCAGTGAAGTAGTGTGGGAAACTATCACTACAGTTTCAGTAGCTTGTTTTAAGACCTTGAAATGCAGCCTTTTAAATGCATGTAAAAGTCTGAATGCCTAAGACTCATCAGGCACTCTCCATGCTGTGCTGTGATCTAACCTTATATGGTGGTACTTTCGTATTTTTCCCAATACTATCAAATTAAACATGTAGGAATGTCCTGATGGCAGATAGCTTTTCTGCAGAAGAAGGAGACATAAATTGCAGCTTAAGAGATACGTGTTCTGCTGTGGCCTGATTTACTAAATGGAAAATTAATCTGTAATTTCCTATTTTGCAATATTTGAATATACCTTTTGGGGGGTTGCAGTTTGTGTGTGTGTGTGTGTTTGGTTTTGACTGGGAGTTTGTATCTGTGGTTAGCAAATACACTCTCTGTGGTCTTTTTATAAAAACTAATCACAGCTATGTATTTGTTAGGCTTCTTCTAACATCAGTATCTTGTTTTAAGTCTCAAAATCTAACGCCATCTAAGTGTCCCACTAACTCACCTAGACTTTCGGAAACAGTGGTTGGAATGAAAAGAAATTCAGAAGTCATATTCTTTCCCAAGGGAATTCCACTCTCATTAGATCATAGTAACTGCACCATTATTTCCTGTTTTGTTCTAAACTTGGGTTTGGTAATGCTGAATTCATTGGCATTTATCAGACTTTCTTTCATAAAAATGAAAGAAAGCATTTTTAATTTTTTTTTTTTTTTTTTTTAATTGTACATCAAGCATTAGCCACACAGGCAGACAAAGCAGTGCTAGACTTTTCCATATCCCAGATGCACTCCTGCTACTTCAAAAAAACAAATAAATTATTTTGTACAGTTGCATGTTAACAAAGTTGTGTGTGCCTAGAGTGTATGGCGGGACAGTATGTTATCTGCAAAGCACTTGGAGTCAGTCTGACAGCACTTTGTTTAGTTCCTTCATGCTGCAAAGCTCTCTATTAATAAAAGATCTTTCAAGTACATGGCAGCGCTACTGTACGCTCAGCTTCCAAGTCCTTAGCACGGCTGCAGCACTCTGTTCTGTTTAGTACAGATTGCCTATCCAACAGTAATCAAAAATGGCCTGTGCAGCCCTTAAAACAGCTCCAGTGTTTTCAAGGAACATAGCTTTTTGAGGAAAAAACCACTGGGTTTTGTATTTTTAAATGTAGCAAAATGTAAGGGATTTTTTCTTATTATGAAAATAATTAATTTTTTGCTCATTCAAGCCTTACTTAAAAAGAGCTTCTGAAAATCATGTGTAGGAATGCTTTGTGTAAGGAGTTCCTATACTGAGAAAGAGATCACTGCTTGGGAGAATTGGTTTGAGCTGTCCTTCCCTGTCACTCAGAGGGCCAGGGTCCTCTCCAGCACTCTGTCATCTACATGTGATTTCTGTAGTTAATAAATGAACAGATTCAGAGACTGACAATGACAGTCCTCTGCAACCACATTTTAAAATCATAAGATTCCTTGTTTGTCAAAGGTACTGTACCAATATGTGCCAGTGGAGACAGGTTATCACTCCGGAACAATGGGTTCTCATGAATTTATATATGAGTCAAATTGAAGCTTTACTCTTGAGCCTGAAAAGCTCAGAATGGCTTTGGAGGCCAGATTTTACCATGAAAGGTAAACCAGATGATGTTTTTTTCAAGTGAGATATAATCAGCATATAATACATTTACTTAAGCAAATCACTTTAAAATATCTATTGGAAGACAAGTGCAAAATAAATGCTGAATATTTTAGACCTTTTTTTGTAAAGATGACACCAAAAAAACTCCAGCTGATAAACCTAGTGCATATTGAAGTCTAGACTGGAAACCACAAAGGGAGTTTCAGTTTTACCAGCTAACAAATGCTTGATGAAAAAAAGATAGCTGATGTCATCAAAGAGCTTGTCAGGATACCAGCAGTAGGGAGGTGACAGTCCCCCTGTGCTCTGCACTGGTGAGGCCACACCTGGAGTATTGTGTCCAGTATCTCTCAATACGAGAGAGATATCGAGGTGCTGGACTGAGTGCAGAGGAGGGCTACGGAGCTGGTGAGGGGCCTGGAGAACAGATGTTGTGAGGAGCGACTGAAAGAGCTGGGACTGTTCAGTTTGAGGAAGAGAAGGCTGAGGGGAGACCTCATCACTCTCTACAACTACCTGAAAGGATAGGTGGAGAGGTTGGTGCTGGTCTTTTCTCACAGGTGATTAGTGACAGAACAAGGGGGAACAGCTTTAAACTCTGACAGGGGAGGTTCAAACTGGACATTAGGAAAAAAATTTTCACAGAAAGAGTGGTCAGGCAGTGGAATAGGCTGCCCAGGGAGATGGTGGAGTCACCATCCCTGGATGTGTTTAAGGGCCGTTTAGATGAGATTTTGGAGGATATGGTGTAGGGGAGAACTTTGTAGAATAGGGCTGATGGTTGGACTCAATGATCACAAGGGTCTTTTCCATCGTGAATGATTCTGTGATTCTATGATTTCAGAGCAAGGGGCGTAACTGGTATAAATTCAGGCTAGAGTTGAGATCATACCAGTAATATGGTGGGCAATGTAAAGTGGTGGAATTTTCCAGACTTGCGTCCTAAAATGTTCCCACAAAAATGTACATGAAAAAATGTGTGCAGTTACACACTGACCCCAAAATGAGCTTTTTCCATGCGCGCTTGAGTATATGTGCATCTGTGTATGCTTTTGTGCATTTGTGGTCAAGTAAGGTCTTAAATCTGCCTGTTTGTTTCAGCACATCCAACAGACTGGTGAAACTATACTTACTTGTCAGCATCCCTGGGTAATGCTACATTAAAAACAAAAAGACTACTTAGAACATGGTATTACAAGAAGATGCTTGTT